CTCCAGGAGAGCAAATGGCTGCCTTCTCCACAGCCCTGCAAGGTGCTCAGGACCAGAGTTTCTAGATGAAAGGGATTTTGGTGGCACAGCCATGTCAGGGGCATTAGTGTGCAGAGAGGGAAGAACCACAGTGTGTTGTTAGCACCCAATGACTCACTTTTAACACAGCTAGTCATTACCCAAGACTGGAGGGTTTTCCTGTCATAAAAGCGGTGTATATGTGGGCTTCGGAAACTAAAGCTTTGTGTCTGGGAGTCCCGGAAAACATTTTCTGTCTCTGTAAAAGAAGACTGGAACATTGGTCAAGATACCAGCAACGCCTCCCTCTTACAAGGCTGTAGAGATGTTTTATCACCAGGTAAGACCACCTGGAATGCAGCAGTATTGTTTAGGTTTATAATAAATGGATCTAAATAGAATTTCACTGCTACCCTGTTATGAACAAATGCACAAATCTTTATAATCCTCTTCTGAGAGGGTGAGGACCCAGTGGTGACCCAGGGAATTTATTACTTTGTGATTTTTTTGAGGACGTGCGACATCTTGTCGGTGTTAGTCATCGGGCCAGTAGGTGGCAGCATCGCTCTGTGGTTGCTGGGAAGATTTGCTCCCAAATTCAAAATAATTGAAAGCCCTCTCCTTTCCGATGATTTTTTAAAAAGTTTTTTTTTTTTTTTCTCTAAGCTTCACATGTTTCTTTCATCTTCATAGCATATTCATGCATGGACATATCATATGTAGCTATTAGTTTTACAGCAGATTAGCAATCCGCCCTTTCAAATGGATTCTCGGCTAGAGGTGTTATATTGCTAATATCATTTTCATTTTTTAATCTCAGCATTTTAGAGCACAGAGGGGCACGTCTACATCCCGTGCTGCACTGCTAACATTTTACAGATTTAAAAAAATTGAGTCCAGAAAGATGTCGCTGTGAGTCCAAGATCGACTGCAGGGAGTTAAAATCAGTTCATCTTCTTTCCTCACTAAAGAACTTGTCCGGAATAAATGTTCTTTTGTACAAATGTCGCAATCTGAACTAGAGAATATAGACAACTCGTCACCTTTTATTTTGTTCATATCTTAAAGTAAACATGTCTCTCCGGCCAGGTCCGGCTGGACAGATGAAGCTGCGTTTTCTGACCACTCAGTCCCCCAGAGCCGCCCTCATGGGGCTGGTCCGTGCCAGCTGCGGTGACAGTCTTAAGTGATGAGCTGTCCCCTCAGGCGCCACTCCTCCCGAATCTTCCAGAATTTTTGTGATTGTTCTTCAAAATGTGTCTCCCTCGGTGCAAAGCCCTTTTTGGTACAGAATACGGGGAGGCCCAGTCCCACCTGCCCTTCTGGGCCCTGCCTCGGAGGGGCGTCGCCCCAACACACAGACTGGGGGTGTCTCCTCCGGGGTTACCCGGCGTATTCATGGTCAGGCCCAAACTTGAACGTGCGCTAAAACACTCTAGACGCCGGGATTGGATGTCAAGGATCGCCTGCATGTCTCCTGCAAGCCTGGGGCAGTGCCCGCTGGCAGTGAGAGAGCTCGCGGTTCCTGGTCACCTTCGGTGAGTTGCAGCCACCCCCCTTGTCATGTCTCCTGTCTCCGCCCTCCGGGGTGTTTCTCTCCATGGGACTATCAACACTGGGCAACAATACATTGCAGTTACACATTGGCCTATTTGTAATAGTTATTTCATATAAACATTATGCATCGTCAGCTCACTGCTGTTTATCTCACCAGAGTCTAAGCCTCGCGAGGCCCGGTCTTTGCCTGCCTTCCTCTGGATCTCCAGTGCCAGAACCATCCCTGAGAAATCCAGCAACTCAATGCATTGAGCTTTGATACTGATGATAAGCAAGCCTGTGGGATCTTGCAAAGAGAATTGTAGACAAAAGGGGGGAGGGGGGTCATGGGGGTGCTATGTTATGCCCTGGGGAGCACTGAGCTTTTCCTAATCTGTGACTCACACAAAGCACCTGCCTGGTTTCGGCCCCTTCCTCTGCCAGCAGCTGAAGACCGCGGTGAAACGAGTGAAAACATCCATCACTTACTGTGCTCTCCAGATATTTGAATGTGCTCTTTCCTTCTTATTCTGTTTCCACTTCCTCTTCTTGTCTTTTTAAAAATAATTACAAGGAGCATGAGGGCAGGCTCATGAAGACCAATCTTGAAATTTTAAAAGAGAAAAATAAAATGCAGTTTTTATTTTTAACCTTGGGTCATGGTGTTGACCTTGACAAACGTATTAATGAGCAACTGAAGTGAGCGGCTCTGGGAGTTTTCAGCCACGCTGTTGAACATGGAGAGCTGCGTGGCAGGTGCAGCCATGGCGGCAGAGGCCTATCTCCATGATAATTGCGTCTCAGTGGTACCTTGTGGCTTCATGACTATAAACCACCTAACCTGGACTACAAATCAGGGACGAGTAAGGTCCCAGAAGATATTGCTAATGATACATGTGGCATTTTTCCAGCTAAGTAGATATTGATCCAGGAATTAATACTCTGTTTGGAGGGAGAATTTTATTATATGAAACGCCATCTTATGAAAAACATCGACACCGCATACTTGCTTTTCAGTTATTCGAGGCCCTCATAAATGTAAAATAGCAAGATAAATAGATTAGGTAAGCTCAACCACCTTACAATAAACTCACATTAAAATTTTTAAGGTAGATCATAGGAATTTTTTGTAATTATGAAAGAATGAAACTTCATCTTTACATAAACTACCAACGAACACATTAATTGCTTCAATTGTGGGCTTTTTTTATGGTTCTATCACTAGTAATCCAAGAATTCTGTCACAATAATTAAATAAAATACTGCATGGCGTGTTTCCTCATTTAAATCATGACCAAGGGAGGTGAAAAAGCACATCAATGAGGAGAAAAAGCACGTCAGGTCAGCCAGATGCAGACGTGGCCAGCTTTTTCTGAAGGGCTTTTTGCCATTTTTGTAGTTCAAGTAACTAAACAGTGGGTAGCGTAAAAGCATTATTCAATGGATCATAATAGGAATGAGCAATGAAGAGTTATCAGAACCTCTAAAATCACTCTACCTTGCCATGACGTGAGGTCTGGATACTTGATACAGCAATGCAGTTAGCTCCTAGCCAGCGTCCAGAGGTAGAAATACGATGTGAAAACTGCCAGTGGTACCAATAGCATCGATTCTATCTTACCTGAATTCTGTAAAATAAAATGAAGTCACCAAGAAAATGTTTGCATGCCAGAGGCTTACAATGTTGGAGAGGAGAGGTCTGGGTAAATTAAAGGTCTGAAGAGGGAAATACGCCAATTAGCCACCTGTGCTTTTGTTTGTGCAACAATAGCAGGCACATATAGTGGATCTGTCCTATTTTAGACATCACAATCTGTAACACCTAAAACATAAACTGACTCTCCATAGGTAACTTCACTGCAGCTATGCCAGTGGGCAGCGTTTCCTGGGCGCCCCGCAAGGCAGCCATCTTGCACAAAACACACTGATTTTTTTTTCTGAAAATTTAAGTATCATCCCCCCAGCATGAATGCTGCAAATTTTGCTCATGTATTGATAGTTAAAAGGTACATATTTGTAGATCGAGAACATTAAAATAAAGTCAATTATGAATGTTCTATATTCAAATTATCATTAGACAGTATATTCTTGAACAAATGTAGATGAAAATACACTGAAGAAATGGATCTTTCCATATCATATTTTCACAATCTAGTCTACGGCACAGCTGCGTGGGGTTGCACTCTCACCAACGCACTGTTCATCTCTTCCAAGGATGACTTGCTTTTGTTTCTGCCTTCTCCCCTGGGGGAGTTCCTTGGGCACAGATACCGTGGCTCTTTGTTTGTCGTTCAAGTAGCTAAAATAGTAGCTGGCATACGGTAACATTCAACAAAACTTCATTAAATGAATATAAATAGTATGCGGTGTTTCTCCCCTTTAAAGTTTTTGGGAAGCATAAAAGAGTAACAGGTGAAATACTCTCACCATTCACAAAATATTTTAATTGTGATAAGTTATGAAGTTTTGTAGAAAAATCATTTATTTAGTCTTTGTTTTTTCGTTTCTGCCTTTCTTTCCCCAAAGATATATTTATTTATGCATAGAAGAGCTGGGGGGGCGGGGTGAGAGGATTCACCAGAGACAGAGCAGGGAACAGAACAGGCAGACTAAGGAAATCCACTGCTGAGGGGAGCAGCGGGAAGCCCAGAGAGGTCTGCTATGCCATGCAGTTCAGCTCCCTGGCAGGGATTGAACTCGCACTGCAGAGGCTACGGATTGCCTCATAGTGCGGTGCTTAATCCCTTGCTCCACCAGGGAGGCCCTGTTTCTGCCATTTTAATATCTGATGACAATAAATAAGAAAATGAAATGACTTTTCAAAACCAACTTAAATGGCTTCTTTACACTATTTTAAAAATCATATTTGAGAAAAATGTGAACAGGCTGGGAACGACCTCAGGACGTCTGAGGACGCAAATTATAGTTCCTTAGTCTTACCTTCTGGGTCATTCTTTCGGGCCAGCAAGCATAGGCCTCTGAAATGAGGCTTTATCCTTTCTGATATTTTCACATTTGAATCCAAATCCATATATGCTTTTATATTACTTGCCAAAAATCACACCAAGATAAAAACAATTTGCTTCCTCCATATCCTTTCTAAAGTCAGGACCTTTGGTCATCATCCTTCTGTGTAATATCCAGAACAAGAAAGTCTGAGTGTGGAAATGATAGCATTTCTTTGTTAATATCCATATTATTGAGTTAAAATAAGATGTTTTTCTTCTTAGAAATAATGTGAAAAAACAGGGTCTTATAAAAGAGGCTCTTGAGAAAATGAAAATGGAGTAGAGGTCACAGTTGCATCATTGCTCAAGGAAGTCAAGCTTATTTCTTGTTAAAATTATTTTACAATGTCTTATCTTCCCTGTTTGGGGGCGAGGACACGCCTCCTTGTGGGTCGTCCAGCCCATTGTCTCACTATTCAACATCTGTGTGTTTTTCAGATTCGTGCAGTGCTTCCTTACTTACCTAGGTGCAGAAGGAACCAGCTATATGCACCTTTCTCAAAGGTACTAAGTAGATCCATTTTAATGTCAAATATTATAAAGTTCATAAAAAGAATTTAGGAAGAAAATATAGAAAGCACTTTATGCAATAAAACGTTATGTGCTTTTTAGTTAAACTTGAATATGAAATAGGCTACAAGTTATATACAGACACTATGTCTGTGATGGTAACAATTCTTCCTCCCTAAATGCTAGTGTGGCAGGTCCTACTATGTGCTGTGGTGGGCTTGGATGCACCTGTCGTGATCCATGTGGCCTCTGCTGACGTCATCGCTGCTCGTCCTTCCATGTGTCCTCGTGCCGAGCCATATCTCTCTTCATTCTTCAAACCAAGATTATTCCTTCTGTACAGCAGTCTGTAGTCACTTAGATGATAGACCTTAAAGATAGAGTCACTTGTTTTATTTCTAAATGGCCCTAAACATGTTCTCGGTTTTACTCCAGAAGTAAAAAAATAATTGTGACATGAAGACGGTGCTTTGTATGCAACAGTAGCATTTTCCTTTTAAAGGTTTTTAATTCCCGTGTTCCTTTTGCTTTTTATGCTTTGTTATTGTAGTAACAATGGTTTACGACACTGCGTTTGATTCAGAGGTGCCTGTTTCCACACACATCCACCACCAAGGCACCCATATTGTCACCGTGGTCCACTGGGCTCCCCACCCACCATCTCTCCCTGACCCTGCCTCCCTGTCTTCTAACCTCAGTTCCACAATCAGAGTTCTGGAGTTGTTCCTGGTTTGGCGCTACATGACCCTTTGTTTTGTTTCTCTATATTCCACAGAGAAGTGACACCGTCCGATTTTTATCTTTTTCCTTCTGTCTTTGTTCACTTAACGTTGTCACCGTGGGAAGAGTTTGTCTTGTTATCCTGAGTGGTATTCCGTTTTGTATCTCGACCACATTTTTCTAATCCACTCACCTGTTCTTGGGCACTTAGGTTGTTTCCCTAACTTGGCTGTTGTAAACAGCGCTGCTATGAATATAGGAGTGCGTTCTAGGAATTAAGATATTTTGTGTGTAATAACAGCATTTTCTGTCTGGAGACTTAAGTTGAATGTTTAAAATGCCTACAGCTTTCTTGAAAGTGGGGGATAGAGTGTTCAAAACATCGCCTTTGAAATCATTGTTAGTATCATTATTCTCATCTCAGTCAGCTTGATTTGATAACAAAGTTTTTTTTAAAGATCCATTTATTTATACATACAAGAATTGGGGTACAGGCCTGAGTTGTGGGGGGTGAGAGGATTCACCAGAGATAGAGCAGAACAGGCAGAGTGACTGAAATACACTGCTGAGGGGAGCAGCGGGGACACAGGAGAGGTCTGCTGCTCCATGTGGGTAGCTCTCTGGCCTGAGATCAAACTATCAAGCTGGCTGCGGCAGCTTCATAGGTTGCATCTTAACCCCTTGCATCATCAGGGAGGCCCTGATAACAAAGATATTGATGGAGAACAACTTCATAAAATATCGAGAAGTCAGTGATGCAGCACCACTATCCAAGGTCTACTCATAAGAACTTTTCATGGGTAAAGAATTACTTCACATCTTCCCAGAAAACAAAATTAATCGAAACTGTAGTATGTTAACAAAACTACTCTGGGACTAAAATAGTGACTATATCATTCAGGAAATGAGAGATAGCAGTGCTTTGCATCCTTAAAATGCAAATGCTCCAAATAAAAATGCCCAGGCCACCTCTTAAAAGCGCACAACCTCGCATCTCATTGTATTTCTTGTTTTCCCTGTGTTTAAAATATATATATATTTGCTTAGCTCTTTCATCTCCTCATTTAGCATGTCATGGTGATTGATTGATGATTGGTGACATCACATACATCACAGCTTATTTCAGGCTGGGGCAAAGTGCAACGGAAGGAATCTTGTCATCGTTTCTTGACCTTTACTTTAATGCAACTCGTATCAGGCTGCCACTTTGTTTGGGGAATATACTGAAGAATGCAGTGTCTGCCCTCTTTTTTTTTTTTTTTAAGGAGACCTTGCACTGTTAACTCACTTCATGTTCTTTTCTAAGTCACGGCTGTTCTCTTGCTGGTGTGTCTCTATCATAATATAAAAGAATAACCGTGTCTGTAAGTTTCTCCATCTCTGATAATGATTTCCACATTGCTGGTATATAAATGGAAGAGTATATCTTGACTCACTGCTGGCCAAGATAGTAGGAAATTCAGCCAGTATGATGTATAAATGATTTTCCTGTTTGTCCGATGCTAAAAAGCACACATTCTTAACCCTTCGTGTGTAAAAACCTACTTGGTAGTAGACCGAGCATGTCATTTCCAGATGATTAAAATGCTTTGACTCATTGCAATGTAGTCAGAAAAGGGAAAACATCACTAGGTAAACCTTGTGATTAGAATGTTATTAAGAGTATTTAAGAAGTATAAATTCATTTAAGTATTTATGATTTCAAACATTGCTGACATATTTAGATGCTGACATTTCAAAAAAAATTAAATCTATGGTAAATCACAGACTCTGTCTAGACATATTAACATAATTGTGACTAAAATATCTGCCCAATGTTACTTTGCAAATTCTGACTACAAAAAAAAATGAGGTAGATGCTGCAAAATTACTTTTTCAAAATCGTTATGAATCTTCTCTTAGGTCAGCTAATTTTCAAAGAGCTGAAGATAGAAAATTTTATTTACAATGGAAGAATTCCACATCTCTCTCTTCCGGCCACTCTATGCTGAATGGAACCAAACTTGTCTTCTCACTGTAGATAATTATGAAATTGCTGAGAAGACAGGAGGCACAGGCAGTGGGAGACTGTGACTTTGAGAGAACCCGCGTGCACTCTGCCTCCTGCCTGGGGGGCCGTCTCTACCACAGGGCGGGAGGGTGACACCCAATGGAAATATCTCTGAGCTGAGGAAGAAGGTTGCAGTTGGGCAGTGGAGGAATTGAAATCAGGAGGGCAGGTATGAGAGGACATGCGTGCAGAAAGGGCATCTCAGAAATCTGCCAAGGCTTCCTCACAATCCCATGACTGAGGAGCAGTTTGCACCGGTTTAGGAGAGACCACGAGAGCCCGGTAGAGTCTGCAGAAAGTGACCCAGAGCTGAGGATGCACCACACACGGGACTCGGGAAAGGCTCTGGGGTGTAGCCTGACTGATGCTGGGACCTCCCCAAAGGCCTTATACATTCATTAGACACTAGAGATACTTCAGATCTTGGTTGAAGAGACATCTTTGGACGTTAGCAATACCTGAGGAGAAGGGGAAAAAACTGTAGTAAAATGTCTTACAAGGAATCGCTGCGAATCTGGAAGTCAGTTGCCAGCAATTTGGCTGCCTACTAGAACAAACTAACTGTCCTAAGGGAGCAACATCTCATCCCTCACGTATGATTCCCTGGACTCATACCTCAGGTGAGAAGTCCCAGAATATGTTTCAGGTCTTTTGATCTTTTGTTTCTTTCAATATTTTGCCAGTATTAGGTTATGGTGTTACCTGGAGAGCCACAATAGAACAAGTATAATGCCAGAACCCCACAGATTTTCTAGTTTTCACCGTATATTGTAATGTGATTCATGTCTGGAAGTTCCTCAGAGTAAAGAAGCACTGCCCTCCACTGAGATGAAGGTCACCTTCGGTAACAGACACGCAGCTCCATCATGGCTTTTCTTTCTTCTCTCTCTTTTTTTTTCTTCTTACCGAAGTGACATTGGCTTACCACACCATCTGTGATAGAAAGGGAGGAGGTCAGGCCTCCCAAGTGTATGTGACCACACCACACCCTCCACCAAAGCACCCGTAGTCCCCCACAGTCCGTGAGGACCCCTCCCCTTGTTTCTTCTCACTCTCCAACCCCTTCCCCCCCGCCCCCGGTAGCCACAGTTCCCTAGTCATTTATCTGAGGTTGTTATTGGTTTGTTGTTTTTTTTTTTTGTCTGACACTGTTTGGATTCTCTATATTAAACATGTAAGTGAAACCAGTCAGTATTTGTCTTTTTGCTTCTGATTTATTTACTTATCATTATGCCCTCCCATTCCATCCACACTGTCACAAATGACAAGAGTTCCTCATTTTTTACATTTGCATAGTATTCCATTATGTATATATACTGCATTTCTTTTTTTTTTTTTAAGATTTATTTTATTTATTCCAGAACTGGAGTACAGGCCAGAGGGCCAGGAGGGTGAGAGGATTCACCAGAGACACAGCAGGGAGCAGAACAGGCAGATGGACTGAAAACACTGCGGAGGAGATCAGTGGGTGAGGCAGGAGAGGTCTGCTGCACCATGTGGGAATCTCCCTGGCTGGCCAGGAATCGAACCTGTGCTGCAGAGGCTGCAGGCAGCTTCATAGTGCATTGCTCAACCTGCTGCACCACCAGGGAGGCCCTATGTTGCATTTCTTTAATCCATTCAGCTGATCTTGAGGATTTAATTTGTTTAGATAGCTTGGGTATGAAAATTATAAATAGTGTTTCAGTGAACATAGGAGTACATGTGATTTTGAATTAGTGATTTTGAATTAGTACATGTGATTTTGAATTAGTGATTTTGCACTCTTTGCATAATATCGGAGAGTAGAACCAATGGGTCATAAGGTAGACCTATTTTTCATATTTGGAGAAACTTCCAGTGTTTTCTATGGAGGTTCAGTAATCTCTATTCCCACCGACAGTGTGTGGGGGTTCCTTTTTCTCCACATCCTTGCAAACACATGTTATTTCTGGTCTTTTTTGATATGGGAAGTTTTCACAGGTGGGAGGGAGGTGGCATCTAATTGTGGTTTTGATTGGCATTTCCCTGATGAAAAGTGATGATGAGTTTTTTTGTTTTTTTTTTTTCATGTGCTTATTGGCCAGCTGTATGTCTTCTTTGGAGAAGTGTCTCTTTAGCTCTTCTGCCCATTTTTTTTTTTAAATAATAAATTTTATTTTTATATTCCCCCATACAACTGCAATTTTTTGATCTGGTTATTTGTT